CGGGAGTTTAAACTTGTTTGCATTTCTTTGTCTGGCTGAGGGTTACCTTGACTGACTAGTTTGCTGAGCTTAGGGAAAATTGGGACTCTTTCTTCAAAATGCGGTAAGAAGGTGATCTTATCTTTAGAGCAGAAATGCTCTCTGAGATGAATTCCGAAGCAGCAGAACCCCATCCCTTAGATCCTAATTGTTCCCAAACTGGGTAAACTTGGGTGCAAACCCTCCCTGTGGGGCATATTCAGTTTGGAAATGCAAAGGCCCTAGGAAGTGGGGAGCCAAGTTGGGGCAGTACCCAAGATGTCAGCACTGCAGAGAGCCCCCAAATACTGGTGTCTGGGCTCTCCTCTGTAGCCCTCCTTGGTGGCAAGGGGACCTGACCACAGGGACAAGGGGACATGAGCCCAGGGACAAGGGACGCAGCTTGGCCCCCTGCTTTGTCAACTGCCTGGCCCTGCTCCAGCTCCACCCAGAGCCCTGCTCCTCCGAGATAGCTAAATCACACTCCTCAGAGCTCCTTAAAAGAGTTTAGAGCTTGTGCACATCCTGCCCAAACAGGCCCTAATTTCAGCAGTGAGTTCTGTGCAGGCTGAAGAAAAAAGCTTTGACTTGGGAGCTGTACACTAAGGGTTTTTTTAAGCCCCCTTTACACCAATTTACTGGTGTTGCCGCCTTAGCTTTGGGCTCTTAGGTTTGCTGTGAGAACCTTGTAAATCTAATTGAATCCAGCCCTTAAAATACAAGCGCTGGGAAGGCGTGCAGGAGGCTCAGCTGGTGCTTTCCCTCGCGGTGTTTGCTCCGTGGCACACGGCCGGGTCGCTCCGGCGAGCCCCGTAGCCGGCGAGCGCCCCCGGGCCCCAGCTCAGCTGTTTGCTTTGTGCCTGCACGGCGTGACGGAGAGGAAAAGTAGCTTTTTCCTCCGCTTTCTCCATTTCTCCGCTCTCTCCCTGCCTTTTGTTCCCGCGGAGGCGCAGGAAGGGGTGCGAGCAGGGCTGGCTTATCGCCGGCTGCCCCGGGCAGCTGGAAAAGCCGCAGCTGGCCATCGGGACGCCGTTGTTTTCGCCTCGGTTAGTTAATATTTTTGCAGCAGGGCACAGCGGTCTGGCCAGAGCGGAGGAGGCCAGCGCGGGAGGCACGGGCCCCGTTCCCGCTTGAGCACCAAGAGCCGCTCCGCAAGCGGCGTCACCGGTGAGTCGGGGGCCGCGTTGCGGGACGGAGCCCGCGCGGGTCGTGCAAGAAACTTCCTGCGGGCTGTCGCGGGATTTCTGCCGCGGGATTTCCGGCCTGGGTTGGTGTTTTGCAGGATTGCTTGACTCGGCGTGGCGGC